CAGAGGTTTTACTGTAATAGCTTCTGAAAATAAATTAGCATCGTCTCAGCGTACGGCACTCTTTCTTCACAATGCTATCCATAGTTGTTCATAAAAGTACTGAAATAAAGAATTTTCTTTTGTTTTGTTTTAAATATAGATAATGCAATGAGTTTGCATAATATATCTATTTCAAAGGCGTATTTCTTTCTTGCTTTTCAACTTACATTTGACTTCCGTGCAAAATTACAGCGTTGTACTTAAAGTCTACTTAGTACTAACATTTTAAATTGACTTTTCCCTTCCTCTGATGCATGGTACAATATTTTATTGCCTTTTAAATTCATTTTAGATAACTCATAACTTTAAGGTTAATAATAATAATGTGACTTTCTTCAATGGTAAATTTCTACGTTTTTATGACTCCGCGAATAACCACAATACTTAATCTTCATGCTCAGTCATGAAGTTCCCACTTACTATCACGCAATACTCCACTTATGCAACATTTCACACGCAGTTCATTATCTCGATTATGTGATCAAATTTGTTTGGTGGATTTTTTTTCTTTCTTTCGAAGGGTTTTCTATCATCCCTTTCGATTAGCTGGATTCCCCAAAATAGGAATCCTCATCATCTCTCAATTTCATGAGATCTCATTCGTGAACGTACCTACGAATTCGAAGCATTTCTAAATTTTCTGTGTTTAATAACTCGTTTATTTCAATTACTATAGAAGTGAATTTGTTTTTAAAGTACCTAATTATAGCTAAATATGTTGTTATTCATAATTTTTTGTAACAGATTTCTCTTCAATGATTCTCTCTCTTCTGATTTCTCTTAAATTTCCTAACTTGAAAAACCACAGAATAATATACAAATAAACTGAGAACTCAAAATAAATAACTGAGTAAATAATTGGAGATTAGATGTGCGAATATGAGGAGCAATTGAGTCGATTAGAGAATATATATGCGCGAGCTTCATACAGGTTTTTCTTAATGAAAATAAAGGAAAGAATATATGTTTTTTCCTGCCATGTTAGATGCATTTTTATTTATTTATTTGGTAATATAAAGGGAAAGGAAACATTTAGCAAAATTTTAATTGTTTAGGAGATAAACGATTAGTCAGATTATTATACCAATAGAATGATTTAGGAGTTTTTATGGTTTTTCCCCTGTATTACAGGAATACGAATCAGTTTCCCTTAGAAGGGTTGGTGAAGGACTTTTTAAAGGAAACTGGATCGTATTTACATTACATATAAGGAAAACTATGAAAACCAACCATGCAGCCGTCTGAGATTAAACCCAGGTTCAACTGCCCCTATTCAGCGGTCTTAACTACTGGCAGTTTCCCTTTAATAACTCTACGTACGCATGCACCCCCTCAGGCACACAACCCTGCAATGTTTTGCCTTAATTAAACAATTCAGCCAATCCACAGTGGCCGAGTGGATAAGACTGCTGAACACTGACATTTTGACCTGGCTTCGAATCCTAGTGAGCGGTCTAGCTAGTGGATGATTAATGTGGTTTCTGTACGCATAACATAGATACAAGTCAGTTTCCCTTTTAAATTCTTCATGCAGGCACGGTTTGTCTTAAAGTGCTTTTCTTAATCATTTTACTACTAAATTAATTATGATCTCCTCGGTTAGGTTTAAGGGCCCACATGAACCCTTAAGCATTTGAAAATTTAAATAATCACCTTATTGCTGTATTTTAACATATTCGTAGTCACCATTGCTGGAGGTTAAAGCCATTAAACATTGGTAATAAATAATGGGTTCAATTCTGAGTAGCTAAACTGGCTATCTGTCTTGGAATTTCATTACTTCTCCCATCTGAAATATAAATATAATTTTCCCTTGAAAAGCCTTCCCGAAAGAATTTGACTTAGAGAAATAATCATGGTATACTTTATTTTAGTCTAATAATAAAATGGAATACAGTCAATACATTCATTAATTACGAAGAGTATTTCAACTGGTATTTATTGTTTGTGTCAAGTGATGTACGCTTTCACGCTGATTGCTGCGTGTTGTTCATATTCAAAATATTCATGCTCAAATGATATGAGTGCGAAGACAAGCGCATTATGAAAACTGAAATAAAGTTTAAAAGCTGCAATAGTTTAGGCAGCAAAGAATATAAATTTTTCAAACTCATATTTTTTTTAAAAAACAAAGAGTTATTACAGTAAAAACAATATCGTAACCCAACCTAAGATGAGCTTTTCCATGTTAGACTAAAGTAAATATCGAACATACGAACTATGGAATCTTAATTTTTCACATCGAGGTTATATTTCGAATAATATCGGAAAATTGCTTTCAAACTGCCCTGATTTAAGACATTTAAGAGTTCGTTTTGTCATTCCGATGTTATATAAAAAAACGGTCAAAATACTGAAATCTGGTGTAGGTTTATTTTGCTTATTGGAAAGCACGCTAAGGCTATCTGACGAAGGGGTTGATTTGGTTTATTTGATTATGGCAAAACAAGAGAGGCTATCTGCCTGAGGGAAAGGATGGATGTCTTCGTGGAGTACTTTCTAACGGAAACTGGCTCGTATCCACGTTATGTATGAGGAAAACTATGAAAAATGTCAACGCAGCCATCCTCTTTGCCTGGAATCGGACCTGAGTCGAGCTACCAGAGTTCAGGGAATTTTAGGCAGATGGACCTAGCATTCAAGTCACCTATATAATATGATATAGATGCTTTTTCTCACTATAGATCATCTTTGATCAAAAAAGGCATAGGTTCAAATACTTGCTAGGTGTCTTAATATTTGGTACAATGCTTGTAACAGGTTCGGTTATTTGTATATAGAAACGAAGACTATCTGACTAAGAGAAAGAATCCTTCTTGGAGAACTTTATAGGGGATATTGGCTCCTGTTCACGTTATACATTGGGTAAACCACGAAAATCAACCATGCAGCCAACCCATCCGCCTAGGTCTTACCATTCAGCCATTTGTGGGGCCCATGGCTGCAACAGATCATCTCTGAGTCCCTATAAATTTATCAAGCGCGGACTAGCTTCGTCGGGTAACTGAGCCCTGCTAAGGTGCTACAAAATTAATTAAAATCAGACACAATATTAGTTGGAAACGCATGACAATAAGATATCTATTTATGACTATTATTTTAAAATTTTATTTACACTTAGATTCGAGGTAAACCTCCTCGTATGCTTCTTGGATTATATCACAATATATCCCCAGACAAGCGTTACACGTTTTTATTGGCATGTGGCCTAGTAGGAGTTTAATCTACACTACAGCCTATTGGTTCGACTGAAGCTTAGCTGGTAGTTTTGTTGCTAATAAGTGCTTTTCTAGTACAGAGACAGAGTAGAGGACCAGGTGTTTAATTTTGAGATTAGAGCGTTATTTGTAATATACTGAAGTACGAGAGGAAAATGTATAGTATTTTTTTGAAAAAACAAATAATCGCTTTGATTTATTTTAAAATTTTAGCTGTATCATACTATAGTCCGTTATTTTATATTAGGCACTTCAAAGCCATCTCATCCACCCATAACCATGACTAACTAATAACGGCTCTCTGCGGAAAAACTTCGAATTCTCCAATTTGCTAAAATCCCTCAATTCCCTCTATGCAATGATACGACGCTCGTTGAGATCTTAAACGAAGAGAGGATCGCCACAATTTTGAATTGTATATTTTAAAGTAACAGATTGTAAGAGAAACTGAATAAATTTTGTTTTGTTCTGACAGTTATAATTGTTAAAGGCTATATCTCGTCAAAAACTTAATAACTCTGCGTAATAACTGTTAAGTTAAATATTCAGTCAAGTCAATTTCCCACCCCAGAAGTTATCAGTTAGCTTTAATTTCTTTTAATTTAACGTTACGTTTCGGCCATTATTAAATTAAAAGTATCTCGTATATCAATGTTAATCGTTTCAAAGTAAATATTGAGAATAAAATGCTTCTAAGTGCCTCATTCTATTTCATTCTTTGTTTGTCGACATAACAAACTTAAGACACATATTTCTTATACTTAAAAATATTTACTGCAGTCTAACAAGATGACGACGAAAGTATGTTTTCTCGAGCAATGACAAGCTGGCGCATATATCCTTGTAAAGGAAACTACTTGGGGCGTGTTTCTTTCTACAAGAGAAACAGTTTTAGTATCTTGATTGTCAGTTATAGATGAAGTTGAGAAATTTTTTTTGCAATCAGCATTAATAGCGAAAGGTAAAAAGTTGTATTCCACAGAATGTTTAGTTTCTGATATCCATATAAGTGTCTGATCTCATAGCATTCAATCACATGATTCTCCTGTTTATGAATATCAAGAGTAAAGTGTTATTTTGTTTGGCTGTAAATTTTAATATTATTATTGCTATGAATAAATAAAAATCGTTACTTTATCCAATTAAAAAAGAACTCAGAACGAAGCTATTACAGATCTTATCTGTAAATTATTGTAATTATAAGCATTTACTTATAAAAAACTATGAAACTACTTATGACTTTTCTAATACCGCCGTATGTATTACGAACCACAGAATTTAAATTGTACGCTTGTTTTCTTTTACAGTTTCCCTCTTGTTTATGTATACTTCAGAATACGAGTTCAATATTAATTAATTTATTTTGCTATAAAAATAAGCTTAGTTTTAGGTTCAAGCAAACTTTCTAGATCTATGTTAATTCGAATTCAGAATTATTTAAATTATGTTAAATTAAGTATATAAAAATGTTTAGAAAGTTTAATTTTGTCGGGGAGAGATATTCTTTAACTTGATAAACAATAAATATCATACGAACCTAATAAAATGTTAATATCGCTTACTATTTCCGAAAGTATTAGTGGACCCGTTTTCGACTGCTTCTGTGACAGAGGAGTGTATAGAAAGAGAGCTGTCTTTCTGTGTTACACACTAAAATCTTGCTAGGTTGCAATCTCTGTGAGGAATCTTTGGTTGGGCGAGAGACTGAATGTTGTGTTTATGTTTTCTTTTCTTTTTTTTCAGAGCCCGAGAGAAGACTTCTGAGGCAACCGCCGGTAGGGGGCTTCACCAGCGGCGGCCGAGCGTCGGTGGGCGGTGGCAGAAGTCACCTGTGGCCGCCTCACGCGAGGCTCGGCCTCAGCTCCCGTCTCGAACACTCGTTTCTGACGAAGACCGTCTCGCGGGAGAGCGTGGCTGCGTCCCTGCGCCAGCTGTACAGGGACCCGCCGCCACAGAGCAACGAGTTTGCCGAGATAGCTGCCGATTCCATGCGGGTCAATGGCGCTATTCGCCAGTTCAAGCAGCTCCGCAAGCCCACCAGTTACTCCTCGATCATGTCCATCGAGCATGCATGCTCTATGAAAGGCCAAAACTCGACGGACAGCGAAACGGCGGCCATAGCCCTGGTCGGCGTAACGCCGGAACAGCCCCTGTCTGAGGACGCGAAGAAGAAACAACCCTTGTCGGGATTTCACAAGCCCAGCGTCGGCTACCGCCTTGGCCGGCGGAAAGCCCTCTTCGAGAAGCGGAAGAGGATCTCCGACTATGCCCTCGTCATGGCCATGTTCGGCATCATTATGATGATTGTAGAAAATGAACTCTCTGCAGCTCTAGTTTACAATAAGGTGAGCTTACTTGCCCTTCCTTTCTGATAAATGATTTTATACGCATCGGCGTATATTTTCATTCTTTTTTTTTACACTTTGACTTTTTCTTCACATACGTTTCGCTATTCTAAAACTGGAAAGAAAGTATTCCGCTAAGACTTTTAAAAAATGTTATCTCTCTATATATATATATTATTTTGTACGAATCGGGAGTCTTGAAGTAATATTTTCAAAATTTGCCCATGAGTGAGGGAATTCTGAAATTGTAATCGGGGAATTAGTTCCTCACCAGATATGCTGTTGACACATTTGATTTATAACCAAGAAGCTTAAATGTCATCGTTCAAAGATATTGTCTTCATGGTGTACAAACTCAAATGTTGCTGCGGTGCTTTAAAAGAATTTAAACTTTGTTTATTACTTATATTTTAAAGATTAAAATTCTTTAAACATTTTTATAAGAACTACTTACTAAATTATTTAAGTTTCGAATTTAAAAATCAACTGCGTTGGAAATAAAGTCACCTTATTCAGTATCAATGACCTGAGATATGTAAAGAGTTACTGAATATTTTTAGTATGCATCAAATTTACCAGATTTACACTTTTTATATTGTCTTTGATATATGTTAAATTTCATTTTGTAAATATTGCTTTATTTTTTCCACAGTGCAAATAAATCGTATATTATATATATATCGACATTTCTTGTTCTAATGATATACGTGACATTGGTGTTTCATTAATGCTTAAACCTGGTAAATCGTATGTAATATTTATTGATATTCTCAGGCTACATCGTATCCTTGTCTTTCTTTACAGGAGTTTAGCCTTTTTTTTCTTGATACGAAAATCTGTTAACTATAAAAATTATGCATTATCGTTAGCGAAATATCTTGATTATGAATGAAGCTTACTCATGACTAAGTGTTAGCAATAAAGACGGAGTTACAAATCGGAATATTTTACATTAGGAAACTAAATGACTACTGCAGTTAGAATTCTGAAACTTCAATTTTTAATCTGTGGGCTGAAAAGTTTTAGCTTAAACTTTTAAATATGTGAGTGTTGACATCCAGGTTGCCTAAATGTACATTTGAAAGAGACTTAGGCAATAATATTTCAACAGTTTTTCTTTTTTTGGATGAATTACAACGGGCTGTAAAATCGAATCACGACATTTTTAGTTAATTTAATTTGATCGCTGATGTGATCTCATGTTTTAAAATATATTAAATTCTTTGGTTCTTAGATCATCAAAGTCATGAGCAACTAATATGTGTAGTCGTTGAAACAAAAGTATTATGTTTCAATTTGATGTTTTTGAGTATTTTCCCAACTTTGATAAACTTTCTAGTGCTTGGGCCAATGTTATTATTTTTTATCTGATTTAAATTAAACTGAAGTGAATCATAGAGGCTAGAGATTTTTAATTTTAGACCATTTCATTGATGTATTTACGTATTTTTAATAATTTCAAAGGCCTTAAAATTGCCTAATATTGAATTGAATGAGTTTATTATATGTTATTCAGTGCTTTGAAAAAAAAATCTAAATTTGATTTATAAAAATTCAGGTATTAATTTTATATAATTATTCTGTTTTTTTTTACCTCTATTCATTTCAGTCAGAAGTGATTAAAATGGATAAAACTGCCATGCAAAGCCAAAATAAACAAAATTAAGTTTATGCTGAAAGCAAGAATGAAAATTGGCCTTTAAATTCTATAGAATTTAATTAATAAAATTTATTTCTTTATTTCACAGTTTCCATATACACAGGAATCAGTGAAATGAAGTTAACTGACCTTGAAGATCTAACATCCTATTTAATAGCCTATTAGATGTACAAAAAACTTAATATAATGTCTCATTATTTCTTATTACTGAAGTTTTACGTTGAAATCTCTGTTGTATTTTTTCCTACATGCGACATAACAGTTTTCTTGCATGTTATTGTATATATTTCTGTCAGAGCAGTAAAATTCCAAATTAATTTTTGAGTTTTGCTTGTATAACAAGTTTCTGACTCAGTAGTAAGCTTTAGAATATCGATACTCTGTTATGTCCCTTTATTTTGATCATAGACCGCCAGTGATCAAGTTAAGAAGATAAGTGAGCAATAGTATTTCGATTTTGGTTTTGTCTATAAGTAACGTCAATACAGCCAGTTTTCAACAGAAAGTCCTCCACGAAGGCATATTTATCTTAGATTGATAGCCCTCGCTTGATTTACAGTAGCTGAACTATTTCATAGCTTGACTATTTACATTTGAATGACTGGATTATTTGCATAAACACATTTCGACCGTTCATCTGAGACACTGGAACCGTGATTATACAGATGTTACGTAAAAACATGCATCAATGTAGTTTATTAATCATCATTTGCAAATTAAGATTTATAGCTCTGTAAAACTGTTTATTCCCCCCCCCACAATACACGAGACGGTCTTTTAAACTACCATGCGCTATTGTCTTTTACTTAAACTACTATCATTAAATTCCGTTCACATTATCTAGTACATAACCTTTATATAAGAGGAAAAGTTGAGATATCAGAATAAAACAATAAGCTGTAAATAGTTCCTTAGGATGCATGTCTAAGCAAATGAAACGAAATAAAGCTAAGCTAAGGATAAGTAAAAAGAGGTTAATAAAATAAGGATTTATAATTTTTCCTTATTTCAATATGTAGATATAGTAAAATAAGAATCTTCTTATTTAGAAATACGAAGAGAAAATTTTGTTAATCTATGTACAAAACATCATGAGGAATCAATAGATCTTTTCCCCTCCAACTGAAACATTCTCTGAAAGTTGTAATTTAGTTATGCTGTGCAAGCAAAGCTGGGTGTATCTTAAAAGTATACAGCTAAGTAAAATTTTAAACGAACATCATCCTCTCTTTTTATAGCACTGTTATTTATGTATTTATCCTTCAAACAAGTAGGTAACTATTACCTTTCTAGGTACTATTCGGTTTTGAGGGCCGTAAAATATCATTAAGCTATTGTTGATGCCACTGCTGCCAAAAATAAATTGCGGCAACCCTAACGCAAGAAAGGAAGTATAATAGAAAATAACTATTTAAGATTGATGTTTTAATTTAGATGAAAAATTAATTTCATATAATACTCTTTTATTATTATAATTTATATAAAAAAAAGGCTAAACATGACTGAATGGAAGCATAAGAATAAATAACTATTTCAGATCATTATTATAATATAAAAATTGCTAAATATAACTGAATGGATGCCTGCATCGCTATTTTGCTACCGAGTTATCGCTAAAGCATAATTTCATCTCGTTGGTTGTTCAAACATAATTTTCTATAATGAATGATGCCTTTTCTTTGAAAAAATTCTCGGTAAAGTGCAGAATCACCCACTTATTTGTTTGCCGCTTTTTACAAGGGTAAAACAATTGAATTTTTTTGTCAATTTTCTTTTACTTTATAACTGAAAATAGGTCGATGTGTACATAGATAAAGTCAAGCGTGTGCGCAGTGTCATTTTTGTGAAATTCTGGGAGTTTTTTTAAGTGAAAATAGTTCGATATGTACATGGATACCGAGTATGTGCAATTCTCAAAAATGCGTCAAGCAGTGGGTGATTCTGCACTTTACACAAAATTCTATTGCAGACTTTTCGTCATGGGCAATTCCCAAATTGTTAAATCCATAGGATATCAAAAAAGGATTTAAAATCAAACAAGGATTTAAAAATTAAACTAGTATTTCAATGGCGTCTTAAGAAAGATAGAACTATATAAACTTACGCAATCTGAAATCAGCGCGTACGCTAGATTTGGTGCGCTGTTAAATGGGCGCGTTTGCTAGATTTGGCGCTTTTGCGCATACATTTTCGCTGCAATTTTATTACGGTCCTCAAAACGGAATAGTACCTTTTTCTAAAACTAATTAAAAAATTAGGATCGATTTCCTCTTCAATAAATTTTCTAAAATTTTTAACCCTTCTTAGGATTAAATTACGGCTGTTATTTTCAAACTAAATTTAAAGTATCTGAAATTCTTTCTAAAAGGTTTAATCTTGTAACCGCTTACCCGCGGAATTCAGTTATGATTAAAAAATTAAAAATTTTTTCCTATTCCATTACTAACAGCTAACTACTTATTAAAATAAAGATGTTCAGTTGAAAAGAGAACTCCTTTATGAAATATACCTTGGAAACAGCAGAGAAATTTTGTATGTATGATGCATGCTTAAAGGAATGGTCCACTTTTAAATTGAACACCTCATGTAACTACCGGAAGTACGGAAACATTTTACGTCTTTTATTTCGAAAAACATACATATATAGCTTGTACATAATTTTTAGCGATAAATTAATGTATACTGCATATTCATGTACCTAATCGCTAGATATCGCTAAGATTTTTAGTTTAATTTCTTTAACGTTTGAATCCACAAATTTAAAGCAAAGAACTATCCCCAAAGGGCTAAATTTAAATTATAAGTGGCAACCTTTTAAAGTGAGACAAGTTGTTTTAAAAGTTAAGTTTCAGATGTAATTAAAATAAATGAATTATTATAAAAAATGTAAAAAATAATTAATTAAAAAAATTTTTACGTGCACCCCAGATGGGAATATTGACGAGTAAACAGTTAAGATTAAGGGCTTCCCGCGTCACTGATGTGTGTCTTCTTTCTTGGATAAGGTAATTAAAGTTTCAAGCGATGTAAGCTGATACCCTTCCTAGTAACAAGGGGAAAAAACATAAAGTTTCTTGCTGACTGAAACTGTCGGGTAAAAAAAACCAAATAATAATAGTATGCAAAATAAAAGACTGAGGTTTATCTTATACTTTTTCTTCTAATAATTTTGAAACTTTCAAACTAATTGTTTTCTTAACGAAATAGCTGTACTAATTTAAAAAAAGTGTTTTAGAATATGCGTCCAAGATGTTATGTTTAAAAGGTCGCAGACTCTAAAATATTTAAGAAGGCTTTTACTGCTAAAATTCCCAGCTTTTTTGAAATTTCCTTCTGATCA